AAAACGCCTGCGCGTGCTCGGCAGTGAGACTTGTGGAGGAAGGGAGCAATTGCCCCCCACCACCACCACCCAACTCCACCACCACCACCCAACTCCACCACCACCACCACCCAACTCCACCACCACCACCCAACTCCACCACCACCACCCAACTCCACCACCACCACCCAACTCCACCACCACCACCCAACTCCACCACCACCACCCAACTCCACCACCACCACCCAACTCCACCACCACCACCCAACTCCACCACCACCACCCAACTCCACCACCACCACGCCATCAAGGATGCCGGGCAGGCACTTAACGGTGGTAGGAGGCTGCGTTAAATGACTCGGTGGGAACAGAAAGCAATTGGCACTGCCAAGCCCGGGAGGCAAAGAGGGAGGGTGGGTGGGGGACTCGTTTGCTCGTGGAGCGCTTTTAATGAGTCCAATGCCAGTCGATGATTGCACGGAGGTAAAAAATTATATATAGAAATATTTGGCAGCTCGTGGCTCTGAGGGAACGCAAAGAGGCGGGTGGGGGGGGAATGAAATGCGTTACGTTCATAGCTAAAAGGGTGCCCCCCTCTGCGAGACAGTTAAGGGTGGCTTTTGAGGGCGCGAATTAAATTGGGTAAATTTTGGCTGCATTGTTTTTCAAGAATAAAGAAAAGTGCAGCAGTCTCTCGATTATCCGCGCTAATGACGGGGAGGAGGGCGGCGGATAATCCAAAATCGTGGATAACCCAAAAATAGAAATTTTCTGCGGATCTCTATGCCAAAAATCACTAATATAGGAACACATTATGTAGAAGGTTAGAAAACACACTTCCCGGCTCCCACGCAGAACACTCCACCCACGGCGTGCATAGCAGAGCCACGCCAATCAACATCAATCAAACTCCACCCACTGTTGTAAAGATATACAACTACCGTACTATACTGTAGAGGTGATCACGTGGGATTTCGGATTATCTGGAGCACATATTTGGTTGGTTTAAGCACGCGATTCCTAATACACATTTCCAAAAGTAACAATGCATAACTGTTTTTGAATGATTAATGTTGACTTGAGGAAAATCCACGAGTTCTTAATTTATGTAAAAATCTCAGGTGCGCGGTTAATCCGCAAATCGGATAGACAGCACGCGGATAATCGAGTCTCCTGTATTCTTTGGGTCTTTCGGTAAAGTCACGTAGATAGGTTCAAAGAATTTCGATTTAAAGCTTTCGTGACTGCAGGGATTCATCTTCTTGGTTCTTTCGGTAAAGTCACGTAAAAGGGAAATAATAAAATAATAAAAAGCTAACATAATAAAAAAATTATATATTTTATTTGTATTTCCCTTCTACGTTACTTTACTGAAAGAACCAAGAAGAGGTTCAAAGAAAATAAGAAAAATAACAAAAAACTACGACGTTTCCATCGCAACACAAGCGGTCGTCATCACGAAAAAAAAGAAAAGAATATGAATTCCTGCAGTCATGAAAGCTTTAAGTCCAGTCTCCTGTATTAGGGGGGGAAAAACTGAGTTCACGAATGTTATAATACGGAGCGTCTTTCGCACCGTACGTAGCCAACCGCGCCAATCGGAGGTGCGGCGGGCTTGCCCGTCCGCGCTCGTGTTCGCCAACGTTCTGCAGCTCATCGTCGAGTTGGAAATGCCGATGGGATGACTCTGCCTCGCCGGGGGAGATCATCCCACCAGCCGGGTCCCACAAGCCGCCTGTGATCTCCGCTCATCCCAGCACCACCCGAGGCCAGCCCGGCCGATTTCAAGCAGCTTGGAGAATATCTTAAGAGGGAGACGACTCCGGTTGACTTGGACACGCGTAAAGAACGGATCCCGTAAAAAATACTCGGAGGTGCAACATATTTCCGCCACACTGAGTCGGGCAGGAAAGCTGCCATATATTTTAAGCCAAAAGGGTGCATCCATATTTCATGTAGAGTTGTCAGTATCGCAGCATTTTACGACTCAAGTTTGAATAATGTATACATCACTTTGTTGAAAATTCCGTGTTTTGTTACACTGACTCCATGAACGCGTAATTTCTTGTTGCGGAATTCTATGTTTAGTGATACCTAGTACGTGGATGTCATGTACCAAGTTGCGACGTGGTGGCTGAGCGTAGAGAAGGCAGTGGTCGGCATTCTATGGCCGTGTTCGGCAACCGTCAGCAATTTCAAGTCTAACAGTGGCGTAGTGATTCAGAAAAGCTCATGATTATCCACCTTCGATCTTTAAAATGCCCGGTGCATCTTGCTATTATGCTTGATATTTTATTCTTTGTCTCTATGTCATATGGAGGAGTAACACGCCCACTTCAAAAGGCTGAGGAAACAGTTTGAGAATCCAATGGCACCACCCCGAGTTTGTTATCCTGCGATTAGCACGGTTGGCTACGTACGGTGCGAAAAAAAGTTAAATGTACATACACACCAGGCCACACTGCCGGTCTTCACGGGGTGAACCTCGTGCGGAAATTGCCGGGAGCCACTCGCCCTGAGTAGACCCAACAGGAGTCGTCACACAAACCTGGTAAGGTACCAACCTCCTGTCAGCCATGAGGACCATATCTGGAGCACTGAGACCAACACAGCTTGAGTCGGCTTTCCCGTACTAGCCCACATTGAACCACCAGACGAAGCACTCACTGACAAAGGAACTCAAAACAGCCCCATGCACACAAGTCTGAAATCCCCCTACCGGAAGACACCTCGAACCCGACACACCGATGACAGCCCTACCTCTCGATGGCGCAACTCCTGGTTGACTGCAGACGTCACTAATCGCAACCTGGTAACTGATCCCAGCAGTGAAGCTTTCAGGGTTCAACCAACCACGTAAAACATTGGATAGCCGTCGACTGCTTCAGGTAAGAGCCAGAGAAGAAGATGTCGACACTTGTGCCACAAGTGGAACACGAGGAGCAGCCCAAATGGTGACTGTGGCCACCATCCAAGTCAGACGATCGCCCACGTACCGAACTCCTGCCCTTGAGAGGTCCATTACCGGTGGTATCGCAACCATTCACTCTGCCTCACCTGAAGCTGTGGAATGGATTGCTAACCTCAACATCAAACTAGAACCGCTTCCTCAGCCATACGAAGAAGATTGCACGCGAAAATTGGTAACCTCATTGAGAGCTATGGTGTCAAATAGCTTTCCTAAGCAGATGACACCCTACTCTTCACCTCCGTCGATTCCACCGATGCCTCGAGATCTGAGAGGCTCTCAGAGTTTACTGCCGCCTTGCAGCAGTGGTTCTGGGCCCTGATCTCTCCGTGAATGGTTCCAAATCTAAAGCCATCCTGATCGACACCAGGCAGCATCTCACCAAGCCCACGCTCGTTTCCAGCATATGAATCGCTGGCTCCACTAATCAAATTCTATAACCACGTGCAGTTCTCGGGCGTGAAGTGTTTGACAGTTACACCAACCACATCGTCAGACCTCGCAACTCCAACCTCAAGGCTCTCCCATCATTTACGCCCCTCATCACCACCGACGTCACACCCTCGCCTGCAGCACGGTCGGATTCTCGCCTCGATTATTGCAACTCTGTACTTGTTCAACAATCATCCCCCCCACCCGCGCGTTGTCCTCGGTGTCCGTCACCTCAGCTAGATTCCTTCAGCTCACTTCCGCTCCTTCCACTTGCTTCCCGTCACCAAGTGTCAGCTTCAAAATCAGCTGCCTTTGCCACCGTGCCTCGATTTTCAGTCGTCCACCGTATCTCTCTTCGCTCCTGTCGCACCACGCTAAGGCTCACAGGGGTATTATCTGCAGCGGCGCCGCAACTGACAACCTCCTCCTCTACACCAAGGGCAAGGACCGTCACTGTCAGGAATTGTTTCTCCCTGGCAGCACCCGCCATCTGGAACCCAGCCATCATCGTCCCCACTGCGCATTCGCAGCAGCAGCTTTCAATTTGCACTGAGAGCGGCATTGCAGCGGTTACCGCACTGCGCTATGAACCCGGTGACTCGAGGCCGATTCCTGCTCAAGGCCTACACGAGTGACGATTATCCGAATCGGTCCTCTGCCTCCCATAGGTCGACTCAGCCTCAAATGAGTACCCGGTGTGGTGTGTAAACATCGCCACTTGGGAGACAAAGGTGGTTGGGCATGGTGCTGGCCACCCACCCACTCCTGTACCGTTCCGGCCTTCATAGGTGCTCGCTAACAGCACTTGCCCCAATGATATGTTAAGGCTACACAGGGGATCTTTGTCTCTATGATGTTAGTGGGGAGTCAGAGGCAGTCGGGCGTGGTACTGGCCACTCACCCCCTGGTGTACCGTGCCGGCCTTCATAGGTGCTCGCTAACAGCACTTGTGTTATATCATGTTTATATTATGTTAGCCGTGGCTAGGACTCAAACTCAGGTGGCTATCTGAATGTAAAGCTTGATGCACTCACCATTGTACTACTAACCAAAATCAAACTTGGCTTTAACTTATATAACCATTGAATGTGCAAGGAAATGCTCCATCGTCCCCCTTTATATAAAGCACAAGTAATAAATAAATTTTAGCGGAGCCTTGGCTGTAATCTCAGAACATCTGCCCATGCAAACGCTGCTGAGAATTTGCACCAGTTTTTTTTTTCAAAAGTGTCACATTATCAGCTCTCGCCATCTGCAAGTCTACAATTTGAGGAACGTGAAAAAATATACATCTGGGTCAACGTGTCCGCGAATGGCCCCAACCCAACTTGGCATATCCCAATGAGACGCTTCTAGGCAGAAAAATTTAAATTGCTCATGTTTCATAGCACGGGTTAGTGGCCTACCTGAGAGCAATGCCGTGCCAGGAAGGGGGATGGATGGAATGGGGGGAATTGCCCCAACTGTAGTGCTAGAGGTGACCCAACCTCTTAAAACACAGCGCCTAAACATCTCTGGTTGTTAGTGTGGGTTGAGGTTTATGGGAAGCCGTTCTCGCCGCTCACACGTCAAGAAGTCCGCTGTACAGACAATAATCTCACATCCACAAGGTGAACACGACTGTACGCAAGACAAATTATATATTTTAACTCTTACATTTGTCACTTATCACGTTTCCCATGTAAAATTAATTTCGTGTGGGAGAAAAGCTAAATTTTTGCGATAAAAAAACATCTGCTTGGAAAAATGTAGGTGGCGATATTTTCACACGTGCACTTTTGTTTCCCTCTGTGGTCTAATTTTCGTGCGGGGTGTTTGGTTTGAGGCGTTTGTGCATTAAATCTGTCAAGGTGGCATTAACTAATAATTGCACCTTTAAGTTCTCACATCAGGACAGCTGTTTACATGTTGAACGTAGAGCAGGCAAGTGACTTATCTGTTTCACAATTAAAGCAGAGATGAGCGTTGGGGAGCGGTAGCATCGTGGCTAACAAAGGCACCACCACTCCTTTTAGCGAGCAGAGGTCTCCTCAATTGGTCAAACTGCAGCAAGTCAAAAGCTGGCAAATATAAAATGTCAAATCAATCCGTGTTATAATATTCAAACCAAATATACTTGTATATCTTTAGCGTACCTGTATGCATTTGCATAGAGAATACGTATGCGCGTACAAACTGCATACATGTATTTACACGTTTGTATCATTCACCTGTACTTTCCATGGCTTTTTACTTCCTTCTCTTCAGGCAAGACGATCTCTAATTGGATATTGTACGGTGCCTCAAAAGGAACACATGTCTCTCTTTCAGTCTCGAAATGCTGATGGCTATAATTATGCTGGGATGTGTGTCTGAATTAGCAGATGCATACAGCTGCTATTTTTTATATATGCATTAGGGCGACACTCAACATTTTTCAACATTATTTCCCTGGCTTTAATAATTAGCTGGCATGCAGTGTTTGTCAACGCATTAAGGCTGCAAAACACTGGGATGAACTCAAGCTGTTCTTGCAGCCGGTCGCGTGTTCCACTTAAGTGCAAGCTTCTGCATTTACCAGCAGAACGCGCGGTCGATCAGCAAAGCAGCCTTCTACACGACCTCACTGCAGTGGTATTTGCGTAGTTTTGCAACAAAACAAAAACATAGCCGAGAGCAAGAGAAAACATATCTAAAGATGAGATTTCAGACCTTGGACTAGAAAATAATTATGATACGTTTTAACTAAATATATAAATGAATAAATATTTAACATCCGATAGCATAAAATGTTCACAGAGCATACAAATTAACCATGAAAACATATTTAGCACTGACCTCCTCATTTGATTGCGAGCTGCCAATCACAACAACTGTAACCTACGAAGCACCGCATTCCAAACGGGCAAGCTCTCTCGCACGCACGCGGCGTGGTGCGACGGGATGTTGCACCTCGGCTCGTTAGGGTTTTTTTTTTTAAGCGACTCGCTGCCCGGTCCGCCGCCCGAGCTCCGGGGGTGACCTCACTGGGACGAGCCGGCCGCAGGGGAGGCCTGCAGCAGAGCTCGCAGCGCCTCCGCGCCCACGACCGGTGCGGAGCACGAGCTCCCGTGGCACACGTACGCCGTGGCCTCTCCGCTGAGCTTCTCCAGCTCCGCCAGGAATGGCAGCCGCCGGTACGAGAAGCTCTCCGGGCGTCCGTCCGCCATGATCAGCACCTTGCGCGCAAGGAGGGAGAGGAAGCCGGCGTTCAAAATAAGAATGTTTACACTGGGAGGAATCCGATTAACTATAAAGTTACTTTTCACAGATGTCCAGTACGGGGGCGGGTCAGAACGTTACAACAGCGAAAAATGCAAAACACGATAGGAGTGCAAAGTATAGGAAAGGTAAACAATATTCTTTGGGTCTTTCGGTAAAGTCACGTAGATAGGTTAAAAAAAAATAACCAAAAACTACAACGTTTCGATCGCAACACAAGCGGTCGTCATCAGGAAATGGGGGTTAGCTTCTAAAGGCAAACTGTTTATAAAGGTTTGAAATGGGCGTAGCCTAAATGTCAGCAGCATGGGCGGGGCAGCTAATGTTAATGTCAGTGGTGGGCGGCGACCGCAGCGGTGATGGGTTTTCCACCAATTGAAGGGCTGCCAGGTAAAAATTCACATGTTAATGTAAGATCGGTGAGCAGCCTCCACGGCGAGCGCGCTGAGATGGCTGTGTGAGTGTGAGAGATTAGCATGTTAATGGAAGATTGCAGAGCCGAAAATAACAACTAACAATGGAAGATGGGAACATCACAGCCAGTTATGACTTTAACTGGTTGATAACGTCCTTCCAATGATTGCTCAGTTTGTTCCCATCTTCTCGGTTGTAATTGTGTCTGTATATATGGATGGCTTCATGAACGAATCTTTGTTGATAGCCAGTGGGTTTGCAAAGTACCTTCGTCTTAGAGAAATCTATTTCGTGTGAGCCCACCGCATTATAGACAATGATCAGCCACGGACGAGGTATTGGTCCTACCGTGTTTCAGATCTGCCTTATGGTCACGAACACGGTCCGAGACATGTTGCTTAGTTTCCCCAATGTAACTACTGCCGCAGACACAGCTTAGTTTGTAGACGCCGGGGTATTGCATGTCAGGCAATCACATCCTGGACAGATGGGATCAGATCACGAATTTTATGCATTGTGTTAAATCGAACCTGGATCTTGTGTTTGCTCATGATTTTGGAAATATTTTTGGTGACCACTGCTATGTATGGCAAGGTGATGGTTTTGATTGGGTCCTCAGATGGTTCTTTCCCAACGGTTGGGGTGATAGCTTTACGGATTGTGTAGTCTGAATATCCATTCATCCTGAGAGCTTGGTGTACGTGTTCCAGTTCACTGGCTAGGTGATGATGGTCGGAAATACATCGAGCTCTATGGTGTAGAGTTTTGATGAGGGAATTCTTCTGGGATGGATGGTGGTGGAAGTCAGACTTTAGATAGGCATCTGTATGGGTGGCTTGAACCTATCTACGTGACTTTATTTTTAAAAATATACCCAAAGACCCAAAGAATATGAATTCATGCAGTCACGAAAGCTTTAAGTCAAAGTTAAACAAATCACGAAAAAATATACAAATACAAATATTTTTACTTATTTTGCAGAAGTGACCTGGCCACAAATGATAGCTCAGCAAAGTGGCTTATCACGTGGAAATGTATAGCAACAAAACAAACTAAAATAATCTTAACGGACGTTTTTATAAATGTGGAGGGAAAAACCAGAGGATCCGGAGGGAAAAAAGTCTACGCGAGCCTTCGCATGCGGCATCGTCAACACCATGGAATGCCCTCCAAACCAGTGGTTGGACAAGGCGAGCTCACTCACCATGTTAGGTCTTCTCTAAAGACTCACACCTGTTACGCATGTGAAGTACCGGTGAGGACGCTTGACGCCGAGGTTGAGGCACACGTATATTTATTCACAATACGACAGTGGGCATATACACACTCGAGGGGGTATCGGCCCCCTCACCCGTATAACTCGGGATACACCCCTAGCTAACTCTGTCCTAGCCCCGAATCCTCCACTAATGGGCTAGGGGAGGCTAACTGGCCCGACACTGGTAAGTCGGGCCCGGTACCCAGAGTTCCAGACCAGCTCTTACAAGAGCACCGGCTCTGGCTTTCGGGACCACGCCGCTGGCTCAGTCCTGTCCGGCCCTGAAAAGGACATCGAACCAGGGGAGTCCAGGGCTCTATCTAAGACGTCTTCAGTCTTCTTCCCTTAGCTTAAACATAACTGCCGAGCCCTTTGAAACATCCCCTTTTATACCCAACCCCTCCCTGAGGGGTGGGGCCCCGGGGGATCATAACGTTCGAACCAGCCCCCCCCCAGGGTGTCTGGCTCGGACGTCGTAGAGGGCACCTCCTCGTGCACTTACGTAGCCCCGCCCACTGTGTTTGTTTTCCATAGGCTGCCATGCATAACGGGCCCTCTCTTTAACACCCCTACACATGCAGGCCTACACTCCCCACGTATGACCCAGTGGACTCTGCAGTTTTTATATTTACCAACTTCGTGCATGGGTGCACTGAGATCCCTCCATGAATTGCCCCTCATGTCATCTGTTATTATCCGCACTGTCATCTCACGTCAACACAATTATAAAGGGCGCAGGCCTGCCGTTGTTTTGCTCTTGTCGCTGTCGGCGGTATTTTGGCCTACTCTTCCACTTTGGCCAGGTGAGCCCAATTCTTAAATATTAGTGCTGGGCTGTTCGTGCAGTGATTGCCTTTCGTATCCCAACAATTAAACCGCGGGCGATTTCGGCGGGAATCGCGATTCTTCCATGGCTGATTCCTATGCTAAATACTCCGTTCACTCGATGGGATTCTCGCGGCAATTCTAAGAGAACTGCCACGCGGTGACACTGATTTAGCAAATGCTGCATATAATAAATTGCCAATGGCCCAGAGAAAACACTGGTGAGTCCACAATTCCCATGATCTCACAAATCCAATTAGGGACTGTTTTCATGCCAAGAATTCCATGGTAATTTTTTTAACCAGGGGATTGTGTGAATCATCCATTTGTAACGGCTATAGTTACAAATTCTACAACAAAGAAGGTACATATTTGCAGATAATTATTGGTGTTTGAAGATTTTATTAAAAACACATTTTTCTTAAATGTTACTCAAAGCTATGGAGGCAACATCCCAACAGTGCCAACAGCAGCCACATGACATTTTGTTCCACAACGCCTTCGGTCAGCAGGGCATCGCCTTCATAGGGTCAGGGTGCAGTCCCGGAAAGTTGACACCTCAAAACTACTTTGCAAAGTAATTTTTTACTCGCGACGGAACATGACGGAGCTCCTTCAAGCTCTGCACAGAATAGTTTGCTGAAAGCGACTTACATGTGTGTACTAAAACGTGTATTACAAAATAATTAATTCTGTGTTTTTTTTTGGAGTGCAGTAATTAGTGACAGCTGGATTGAGGCCAGCAGCTCGCTACAGTTTAGGATGAATCATCGGTGACTGCCTGGATAAGACCCCCAATGATTCTGTGTGTGCTGGCTCGGTGTTCTTTCTTCTTTTGTAACTCAACACGGGCCCGTAGAAAGCACCGGTCACAGTACAAGAGGGGGGTGGACGGTGGTGGGGGGAGGAACAGAAACTTCGCCAGCAAAAAACCCGAGATCGGCACGCCAGGGACTTAACGATGGGGGGGTGGGGGACATTTAGGCTCTCTCTGCCCCACGCATGTGGGGACGGCAAGCGATAACGACGTGAATGAGGGGGAAGATAATTGTAATGGGGGTAGAGAAGGAGGCAGTGAAATGGTGGGCGAGGGGAATGGATCGGTGTTTTAAAACCCGGTGATTTTCCCCGAGTCTTTGTTTTTTTGATAAAATCGTTATAACACGTAGGCTTGCGCGTATTATGGAAAATCTTTTTTCTATTTTCTATAGGAGCCCGGTTACAAAGTGTGAGCGACGGGGAGAGGTGGGGGTACGGGTATTCCGCGGGCGAAAAAGCCCGAGGGCCGGTGCCCACGGGGGGTACGGGAGAGGGTCGGTGGTTGGGCTCGCTGCCCTACTCCCGCAGGGGCCAGCGTTCAGGAACGTCGAAGAAGAACACCCTCAAGTCAAGGTGTTCTTCTGCTGAAATGTCCATGGGCTATGGGGTGGCATTGTGCTGTAAAAAAAAAAAATCCACATTCCTGCGGAATGACCAAATCTCTACAAATGACAATCATTGCTGAATTTCCAGAAGGTGAATCGAAGATAGGCTGAGTAAATCCACAATCGGGATTTGAACTTGCTACCTTAAAATCAGTTACGCACAACTTTCAACTTTGCCTTCTGGGTTTATACCAGTGGCTTAATGATGACTATGATATTGAAGTTTTAAGAAGAACGTTTTCATTTAATATTCGAAGCTCTGGTTATTCCTTGCAGGAGTCCATTCAAATTGAACTCCGTAAGTGGAACAGTTAACAGGCAGTGCAAATGTGGTTTTCCTTCGGTGTTGAGGTGGTATCTTACCTTATGCGGGAGGAAGGTGGAGTTGACACAGTCCAGCAGAGCCTGGGTGTCCTGCGCTCCTCGGTCGCCGCGGATCACGACCTGCATCAACACGTCATGCCCGTCGATCCGTCACGCCCATGCGTACACACAGCCTCAAGAGTGACATCCCCGCGATATTGTCGATATTGCTGTTGGTCCTGAGCCGTGGGTATACATTCCCCTTTCCAATGGTGGGGACCGTTCTCTCCGTAGGGAAACTGCTGTTGACTTCCCAACTAAGTGGTGCGGCTTCAGCAGGCGGTGCTCATTTCACTGACCCCGGATACAAGACAGCAACAATACCACACAGATACACAAAGTCATCTGCTATCGGCGTTGTGTGTTAAGGTGGTAAATGTGCAAAATACAGGGGCCTGCGAGAAAGAAAATCAGGAGACACAATACGCTATCATGGTGGTATGTTTGCGACAAGTCATCATTTGGATGACCATCATTCTGAGACTCAATTGCCAATCTCCAGTCACTGAGCGAGGCGACGCTTTTGCCGTCAGAACAGCTCGTTTCCTAACCACGCGGGCACCGCACCACCTGCGTGAGCGCGCGGTGATGCGCCAGTAGGACGGCCGTCATCTCGGGCAGGGCGATGGGCGCCCGCTCCAGACGAGGGCCGAACGCGGTGAGGAGCCGAGCGGCGCGATCGCTCAGATCCGGGCGTCCCGCCAGCGCCGCCAGCCGTAGGAGGTTCCCTGCCGACACCGAGTTGCCGCTCGGCTCCGCGCCGTCCTGGTCTGGAGAGGGTCAGCGGTTGCGGGAGCGCGCGGAGTCGGAAGTGTTTGTTTAATCGCGGCGGAATACGATGAGCTGTGAAGCACGTTTATTTCTCTCGTAGATGTCTAGTAAGGATGGGGTGGGGGGGGGGGATGGCTAAGAAGGTTACAACAAACAATGCAAAAACCCGATAGGAGTTCGAAGTATAGAAAAGTTAAGCAAGTCAGAAAATATAGGCAAGTGAAAATCGATAAAGTATATGCGTACAAATTGCAAAAGTACATCAATTCCCGCCGATTGTTCAACACTAACTGCAAGCTTGGGCAAGGCAGGCAAAACACACGTGCGAGTTTGGCGCTCACCCTCCTTCATGCGCAGCAGCGGGCCCGGGTGCGTGGAGGGCGTCGTGAAGTAGCCGTGACCCTCGTCGTCCCAGAACAGGAGGTCCTGGCGGCCCTGCAGCCGCTCGGCGAGCTCCAGCCAGCGCTGCTCCAGGCCGGCCTCGTGCACGTCGAGCAGGGCGCGAATCACGCACGCGTAGTCCGCCAGCAGGCCAGGCACGGGCGCCGCGCTGGGAGAGGCATGGGGCGGACGGCGTCGCGACTCTCAGCGACGGGTTACATCGCCGCCCCTGCCTGCCTGCCTGCCGTACAGATCTCCAGCAGTTATCGCCCAGAGTACGAACGACTTAGTAGGACCGATTCACCCCCGGGTTACTCTCCATAAGCAAGTCGCTCTCTAAGACCAAATCACTCTGAATGCCCTTTGTTTCATCATATTTCGGAAGCTAAACAGGATGGAGCATGCTTAATATTTTAATAGTTGTATGGGACACTGCATGAGAATGGCTGTTGTTTTAGGCTCGGACTGAATGGTGGCCAGAAAATGAAACTCTAGCAAATTATTCTTTAATTTAACTGTGCTCTGCTTTGAGTGCTGCTCCGCATTACGTCATGGGATTTTCTCCGGGTACTTTGGTTTCGTCTCACATGACGAACAATAATTAAGATGGAATCGTCAAACATTTCCTTGCCGGGCTGTCCTGAAATGAGTCTTGAGACTTTTTGAGGCCTTCCCGGGCAAATAAAAGGCATTATGAACGTAATTTAACTATTTAACACTTAGGCTTTTGCTACCAATATCATCCATGATACAGGTTTTTTGGGGTTAGATTGCGTAATAATTTACACGATTTACATAGGATTTTTTGGGTTAGATTTATATAAATTTTTTGGGTTAGATCGCTTAAATATTTATGTAATTTATATAGGTTTTTTTGGGTTACATTTATATAGGTTTTTTGGGTTAGATTTTTGTAGGTTTTTTGGTTACATTTACATAGGTTTTTTGGGATTAGATCGCGTAAATATTTACGTAAATATTTACGCGATCTAACCCAAAAAAGACCTGTATTATGAGTAATTTAACTATCTTCCAATTTTTTTGCCAATATGAATGTCCCTCGCCACAGCATGAACTTTCGTAGCGAACTTATCTCTGAATCTATAGTCCTACACTGTTTAAAGTAGTGGTGTTAGCTTTGTAAAATTAATTGAAATGTATTACCAGTCTTTGTATATGGCTACAAATCAAATACAATCTGAATCCCTGTACAATATACGGAGAGAGATGGCTTCAAGTCCTGAGTCGTCAGAGTGAGCGATTCAATCTCTTGTTGTTACTTAGCACAGCAAAAGTAGATTCAACACATTATTGGATTAATATTGCATCGTTTTATATGCCGTGACTAATGATGATGTTCATACCATATACATAAACCTCCGATAAAAAATACAACTCGATCCAATTCCAATGCATCACAGCATCAAGATTGAGGATACGGTATATCTCGAGAATTTTTCCGCTGGGTTGGGGAGTAACACAGCCTTTTGGGGCTCGCTTTTATTTGAGAGCTTCATGAATTCCATTTGCTCTTGTACTTGTGCGCACTGGAGATTGTAAATTGGGTCAAACGCCCTGGGGTTAAGGGCTGGTGTTGCACGCGATGTCGGGAGTTAGTTTTGTTACATAAGAGCGTCGACGCGGCAGGTAGAGCGCAGAGACATTTGAAATGCCCCATTTATGCACGGCGGGTGAACGAATGATTTACGGCCGCTTCATTGATTTGATGACCTTTACACAACCGGTGTGATTTCCCATCTCTTTAGCCACGGATACCCGGTTACATTCACCCGGCACGTTTCGCCAGCTGCCTTTGCTCGTTGGCTTTCGCCCACACACCACAGCGGGAGTTTGTCAGGAGCTGACTTCAACCGACTTTGAGGAGCTAAATTCAACCCCTGGAAGGTGCCACATTGGCCTGAGAACGGAAACGTTCAACACGCGGCCCAACCTGGACAACCGACCCTTGGGATTAATACGGGGTCGGGTATTAATATGAAATTGTAACTGCATGTATGTAAAGTGAACTTCTTTTGCACCATACGTAGCCGATCGTGGTAATCGGAGGTGTGAGAAATTAAGTGACATGTTACAAATGTAATCATTCTAATGTCAGTTGTTCGTCAAGGAAAGCCTCAATGAGTCTCAAGTAATCAATGGCTGCACCATTATCTCCCGCTCACCTCACATGCCATGGGAAGTCTCCCATCCAAGTTCTAACTGGCCAGAATTTGGAAGGAATTATACAACACGGGCACGTAGTCGTGAGAATGGTGACATCACAAGGTTGTCCACTTTACAGCTGACAGTGTACTTTGGTAATTGCACACTAGGCAGCAACTGTCATAAAACCAACGACTCTGTCAGCTGATCCAGAAGTGCACAGATGGTTGGGCTACTCGGCCAGCTGGTCGAGAACCGAATTAATATCGGTCTTGTGCTCGGACTTAAATCACCAAACAGTGTGGCCAGCAGAGGCACAGATGTGACCACCCACTGAATGATGTGGGGAGCTTTATTGTGGGATCGCAGAACAGGCAATGATTGCTTGCATGTGAATGGCCGCTATGGAAAGATAAAGTCAGAGACTTAAGAAAGACCTTAATGGTAATTTAACCATTGATGCAGAGGTGTAGAGAGTCAAGTTCATCAATAACACTGTGGCCTTAAAAATAAATTGTATATCGACGACATTTCAGGTAATGGACCCTCTTTATTGTACATAGAGAGGCCATTATCTGAAACGTCGTCTATTATATACGTATATTTTAATTTGTTAATTGTGCTTGCGCACCACTGCCATTAGCACAGCATCATCAAAACATTTCAAAAAGCCCGTGGTGTGATCTGTGGATGTCTGCTTTTGAGGTTGACACGAAGTCAAGGTGCGTGCCGAGCAAGGATTGTCTGCGCTCACATCTGCTCAATGTTGTTGTCGGGGCCCTGGTAGGCGCTGTGGGTCAGGTTGCCCGTGACGGGGTCAAACAGGTGCACCGTCACGAACTCAGCCGCCCGCTCGGCACGCCGGACCAGCCCCGCGTCTCCCAATGCTCCGCCAGCGCGCGCAAACCCAGATATCATGAGCCCTGGGGCGCAGTGACAACAACAACAACAACCGCCATTCGTCACCAAGCGGCGGTGACATCACCACAGCGCTTGTGCCAGGCTACGTGCACTTTAAGGCCACGTGAAATGTCAAACGACCGCTGGCAGGTCACGTTACAGGCCCAGCTGCCATGGGTTGATTGACTGAGATGATTGGCCGATGCACCACCTGTGCCCCCTATGTCATCAGTGACACACATACACACACGATCCTCCCTCCAGCTATCTTACAATGGTCAGTCACCTCGAACCACCGTGAGCATGACTATCACTTCAGTTGGATATATAATTACTCTATTCATTAATATTAATTAACGTATCCATCGGTCGGAGTGGTCGTGTAGGACTAGCAGTGTGATACAAACCCTGTATCTGGAGTTCAATTCCCCACCATTTACTAACTGCTAAAAGGCTCTACCAGAATTCAGGAGTAAAGGTGCAGTGCTGCAATTGCCTGCTCACGCCACTGCTGATAGAAGGGGCCTCCACTAGAGAGCTCTAGAGGGCCTCTGGAGAGGATTAGAGGAAGGAAATTAGGTTCCATGGAAGGCACGGTATTTTAAACTCCATAAAACAGCATCTGGGAAGCGTGGCATGGTAAACTGCTTTTTTAGAAACATGCTTTTAGACTTATTAGAGTATTTGGCTTCTATCAATGTCCACACGTCGTTGAGCTATCATTTGTGGCCAGGTTGCTTGGAGAAGAAGTGCTACACAGCTCAGTGGACCTTATGTCTAAACGTCAGTTCAAGTTTAAATTACTCTTAGCTGGAAACTCTGCGGTGAACCTTTTTTTATTTATCGCCAATCGCAGCCTCTGTCGGCACCGCAACCCCTACCGTTCCACGCGGCGATCATCTTGGTGTCGCGGTGCGGGCGAGGCCGGGCTGCTCGCGCCTCCAGGAGCTTCTGCCGGCAGAGCGCCAGCGCCTCCGCCAGCGCCGCCTCCGTCACGCCAAAGCGGGCGGCCGTGAGCGCCGCGGAGTAGCGCACGCTCAGCACGTTCTGTCCGCTCAGCTCGCCGTGCGGGTCCTGCAACGTGCCAGCCGACACGCGCAGTCTGTGGGCGAATCATCCCTACCCACCCCCCCCCCCACGTCTCGAACAAACGCGTTTCTTTTACCGCTGCTTTATGTGTGTTTAGTTTGTTGTCCTTCCCCCGCACACCTCCGATTAGCACGGTTGGCTACGTACGGTGCAAAAGAAGTTCAACATACACACAACGTGTAATATTTCTGAGCGGGCTCAAATGTAAAACACGCTCATCAGATCACCGGTTCAAAGTTTTGTTACATCTGCTTACGTGTTAAACCAAACAACTGAACTTGCAGCCCTTCATATATCCACTGCTGGATGAAGGCCTCCTCATGCCGTGTCCATTTACAGGAGTTGTTTGACCATACTTCACCATGCTGATCAGTGCGGGTTGGTGATGAAAGCAGGAGGAGGGTTCCAGGAATAGTTCGGATATCACTCACTATTGATGTTCGTCGCGGCCGGTGATCGAGCTCAGACTGTCAGCACGTGAACCACTGCGCCACCGCTCTCTCTCCTCGCAAAACACCACATCGGGTCTTTCCCCCGACGACAATGACGTCTACGACAGCGGCGGACTTGCCTGCGCGCGGAGGACGTTGCCAGCGTCCTGCGTGCCGTAGTGGTGCATGAAGACGTCGGCCAGCATGGTGCCGTCGGCGTAGCCCGGCACAGGGTCGCACAGGATGGCGCGCAGCTCGGCCGCCGTCCACACGTAGAAGGCGCCCTCCCTCTTCTCCCCGCTCACTCCGGGAGCCAGCGAGTCCGCATCCTCCGCGCTGTAGAAGCCCCCTGACTGCGCAAACGTGGGGCGCAATTGCACGCGAGTCTCTCGCTCGCTCGCTCCGAGCACACGTCCGCCGCTGATGCAAATGAAGGGCTACATCGCGAACAGGGGGATCGCTCGCTCGGGGCGGCTCTGCGTGAAGTTTCAATGACACGCACTGCGTGGAAACAAAAAGTGAAGGTCTCGGCCTTATGCTGGAAAGCACCAGTTCAGAAAAATCGCACTGCGGTCAATTTGTCTTGGGTCACCATCAATAAATTGAGAAAATGTGTGATCAACCGACAGGCAGGAGTGAAACGAGGATAAAACTGTAGACCGGCTTTGTCCACATTAGGACTCATCGTTACAGTACAGTAATCAACGCACACTGCTGCCATCTGCCTCCGGGAGACTATGACTGGTGATGGCTTTTCCCATCATTTACAGATTTGAGTAATGGCACACGACATAGTCATACAAAATATGGGGAAGATTAGAAATCACATTAGCCAGAGAGACAAAGTGTGCAGGCTGCAAACAAATAACAGTGTGCTAGACAGCGACCTATCAATATGGAAGTCCCAGAAGACGTTGCATGTCAAGGTGATAACAAGCCTTGCGCATAAGATGGACACAACCCATGATTGCCACTCTCCAGCCACACTTGGCAAACTTAAGTTTTAGTCGTTGTTCTATTGCAATTTTATTTTAAAAAGCTAAACTTTTCTTGTCAATGGTGCTCTCATCCACGAGTCTTGCTATCAATGGAATTCAGTTACCCACACATCCCCGAGGGGATTGCAGATAAGAGAAGAGTCCATACTGTGCCACTCTGGGTGACGTTTAAACCATTCTTTAAATTGTTTATACAGTATTTCCACAAGCTGCCCTACCTGTAATAAAATATGTGGTTGAACAATATCCGTTCTCCTGCGCAGCATTGCGATTCAATTCGGCATGGGCTTTGAGTGGTGCTTAACTCCACGGGATTCGATGGTTGAATACATTGAGAATAGGTTTTCCCTTTTTTCTGGCAACAAACACGTGTGAAGATGTTAAAACGCCAAACTGAGACCTTTTACATGGAATCATGTCTGCATTAACCACAAAACTTGTGGTCAGAGTGCAAACAAAAAACATACTCTGATAATATATGCATTGTCTTTGAAACTGATTGGTCCACACCAGAAACAAAAGGCGTCCTCTGGTCTAACACCGGTTTGAGACGAGGCTCAAAAGAAAGCTGTCTCTGGTGTGGACCAATCAGTTTCAAAGACAATGCATTTATTATCAGAGTATATTGTTTGTTTGCAAAAGGTTTCAGTTTGGTATTTTAACATGTTAACACCTGTTTTGTTGGCAGAAAAAAAGGGAAAACCTATTCTCATATTTTGGTACTGGCAAAGGAGGTCCCATGATGGTCAAATACATTCTTTAGCAGCAGTGAAGACAGCACTAGATCAGTGGTTCTCAATCGGGGGTAGGTGGCAATGTCCCAGGAGTTACACGAGGTGGTTTATAAATGTGTAAAATTATATCATACATGAGTTATTGGTGAACAATCATGTTTGAAACTGCCTATATAAATAAAACTACGGTAACATTTTTATCCATAAAGTAACCTAGCACGATATAAAAGTCTTCTTGGTTCTTTCGGTAAAGTCACGTAGAAGGGAAATAATAAAATAATAAAAATAAAACATAATAAAATAATTCTCACATTTCGGCCACAACGCAGGAAGCCGTTGTGGCCGAAACGTCGTGAGAATTATTTTATGTTTTATTTTTATTATTTTATTATTTCCCTTCTACGTGACTTTACCGAAAGAACCAAGAAGATGAATCCCTGCAGTCACGAAAGCTTTAAATAGAGATATAGAAGTCTTTGAAAATCATTGCTTCTAAACAATGCGGGTTTCAAAGAGTAGCCAGCGAACACGAACAAATGACGTCACGCGTGCAGAGCGTCCGTTGAATTTTCTTTTACTCGCTCACAGTTGGTCGCTAGTTAGGATACCTCACAAAATGGACAATTTGGTTAAAATATTGATGTTCATTATTCATCCATTTATTTCTCAGAACCGTGTTGGGTCAGGAAAAAGGGGGTACTCGGTTGAAACTAAATTCAACTCGGGGTACAGGTTGAGAACCACTGCACGAGATACTCGAGTACCTGTCCATTGTTCAGGAGTATACCGTGACCCTTACAAGGCCGAACATGCCCATGAAAATTCATGACTTGAACCCATTCGCCTCCATGTCAGCTACATTTTCCACCATCGTTTTTCTCCTTTTTACAAAACCATTCCCAACTCGTAACTGCAACAAAAAAAACCCCCCATACGATTAGCATTTCAGTTACTTATTAACCTTTGTAACTTTTTTTATTTAAAGGTCAATGGGAACTGAGCCCTAACTTTGTCTCTGTACGGTGAGATGGACTGAAGTGCTGTGACTGGCGCACTAATTCACGTACAAGTTCCTTACGATGTAAATGTACCATTGGAACCTCATTTTCCAGTAACAAAATATGATAATTGTTTTTTTACCCTTTTATCTGGCAACAAAACTGACACCTTTTTTTACAAGGAGTCATGTTTGCATTGACCATAATACCTGCAGTCGGATTGCAAACAAAAAACACAACTCTGATAATGTATGCACTGTCCTTGAAATTGATTGGTCCACACCTGAGACAGCTTTCCTTAGAGCCTAGTCTCACATGTTAGACCAGATGACGCCAAAAGTGTGCCTTCTGATAATGTATGCACTGTCCTTGAAATTGATTGGTCCACACCCGAGACAGCTTCCCTTAGAGCCTAGTCTCACACGGTGTTGGACCAGATGACGCCAAAAGTGCGCCTTTTGGCGTCATCTGGTCCAACACCATGTGAGACTAGGCTCTAAGGAAAGCTGTCTCGGGTGTGGACCAATCAATTTCAAGGACAGTGCATACATTATCAGAGTTATGTTTTTTGTTTGCATTCCGACTGCAGGTATTGTGGTCAATGCAAACATGACTCCTTAAAAAAAAGTTTTGTTGCCAGATAAAAGGGTAAAAAACCAATTACGATGTAAATGTATTCTTACAGTTGACGGTGGCCACTTTTGCAGAACTCGGCCGTGTTTAAAAAAAAAAAATGGCACCGCGATCTGGTCGAAGGAAATTAAATGTGAAAACGCAAATGTTTACTTTCACAATTTCTCTGCAGTCGCCAGTCATGGCGATGTAAAGTTGTGGGGTTAACTATCGATATCACACGATGGTCATATCTGGTCATATCTAGACTGAGAGAAACTGAACCAGGGATTTAATCAGTGTTGGCTCAGCAATAGCATTAGCCCCCTTCACCTACCCGGCTATCTCCACATCCTCCTCACTCTCGGATGCCAGCGCATTCAATTAACTGCACGAGCGTACCCCTAGCCACGCTGTCCTGCTGTGTAACCAGGGCAGATCTTAAACCGAAGATGGTTGAGCTTCATTAGTGCTTGGATGGGCAACCAATGATGCAATATTAGTTGTGAGCGAATGGCACTGGGTGCTCAGTTGGGGGCAATGTGTTAGCCCGATGGCACAAAACAGTGTCAGGGGTTGAAGGTGCAGGGTTTTTTTTTGGCACGAGATACATCTTCGATAAAAATTCCAGAAAAAACATATGAATGTAAAATTGTACTCCCGGACTCAAACCATCTTTGTTCATCTCCAGCGGAGACACGGCCGCGAGCTGGCATTCATTTCCTTTACACCGAAGGGGTGGAGGTGCCGAGTCGATACGAGACCCAGGGTTTGAATGCGCCGCTGAGATTGAGTGCTCCGGAAGGGGTTCTACAAGTGATGTACCGACATATTTTGGGGGCGCCTGATAGCCGTGTCCTCCAGGAGGGACCTGCGGGAATTCAAGCGCACCTCTTCACGAATCAAACTTGTGAAATCCTGTTCTTGCTATAGCCGTTGAGGGGCACAGGCAGTCGACTGGGATGCTTGTCACGCCGGTTTTTCGTAGGCCTTCGTACACAGATATTTAATCAAGTCTTCTTCTCTTCTATGGGTCTTTCGGTAAAGCCACGTAGATAGAAAAATAACAAAAAATAAGTCTTCTTCTTTCATATGGCTGATGCAGATGCAGAGCAGCAACTTCACATTCAAGTCGTCAAATCAGACAGCCGCGTCAGGAGCAGTGGAGTGTATCGCTGTGATGTCTCCTTTGTATTTGTGGATCGGGAATTGCAGTCGTACGTTGTACGGTCTGGTCTGGATGACCACAGTCGCATATCGGAGAGTTTTTCATTTTACATCTGTGCATCAGGTATCTGCACTTGCCATGGTTTGTATGGATGCGGTTTATGACGGACCGTGGAAGATAAAACTCTTCTGCGTTGAGTCTTTCACAACAAGGTGTTTGCGAGTTATTTTCAACTTCATTCAGTGTAATCAGTGACTTCTCGAAGTAAAGACTGTTTTAGCTGCTAAACAGATAGAGAATGCGGTGATTCAAGGGCCGCAACCCTTGTGTAGCTCACCTTGGCCACGTGGAACGGAGTGAAAATAACCTAAATGTCTCCACACTCCAATGAGCATTGGGTGGTGCGTACAGCCACTGGCAGCCATCAGCCAGTGGTGGAAATTCCACAATATTAAGGTGGGGACCATGTTCTTCAGAAGATAACCACTCTTCACCTCCTACAAAGTGGGTTTGACTTCAGTCACCCGGGAGGGATGATGGGCTGAGTTGATCCCTGACTGGGATTTTAACTCATTACCTTTCCGTATGTGAACCATCGCTTGCCACGGTGCTGTCTGGCTGAATACTAAATGGAGTAGCTCGTTTGAATGCACCCGTGTCTGTGTGCTTACGCCACCGTTCTTCGCTCATTTTCAGAGGGGGGCCTCTTTCGCCGATAAGACATCATCGGTGTGAGGGCCGTCGCACATTTGAAACCGTTGGGTTTGACAGCACGATGGGGTGTTCTCACTCTTTGTGTATTGTCGGGGGCCGCACGCCAGGGGCCGCACTAAAGGCCACAATGAAAAACACTGGCTTATGCGCAAATCCGAATGTACAGAAAAGAGTCATAATTAAGAATCAACAAGTGTTTGTGTGAGTCGGGTAACTCACCGTTTTACTCAACAGAATTGTTTCTCTTTGATGGCCGCAACTGGTGACGTGTGCTGTGATTTTCACGTTGTTTTTACAGCCTGTCATGGTTTGGATGGAATTCATCGCGTGCGCACCTTATCACGGTGAAAATCATTCAGATCAACGGTCTGCACTTGCATTGTCTGCCGCAGGAGCGTTTCTCAACTTCATTCCAAACGCAGATGTCCGTGATTACCAACCATCAGGTGCGTGCAGTGTAATGTGGATTACCGTGGATTGCTTTACGTGTGAATAAAAAAAGGATTGGTAATCCGGAGAAAGTGGGCCGTGGCGGGCCGCAAGGACTGGCGTTGGGAAACACTGCGCCCGAGCACGCTCCACACACACATACGCCTCCTCCGACACGCGGGGGGCAGTGGCGGAGGGGGGGGACGGTGGCGGAGGGGGGGCGGTGGCACACGCACGGAGGTGCTGCGCTGACTCCTGCAATCCACAATTCGTTTCCCCGTCACTCACAGCATTGGCCTGGAATTCCTTTAGGTTGACCGCACTTACAATGAGTAACCCCCCCCCCCTTCCCGATGAGGTGTGTGTGTACATTAGTCACGGTGGAGACACAAGTTGTGTTTCTGGGAACGCCACTCACTCCCTCGTGTGCATCGACAGCCTCGACAGGTGCCCCCCTCCCTTCACCCCCCCCCCCTTTTGCAGTGCTCGTTTTCAACACGCCGCGCACGTTGGCGCGCGGGCGCGGTGCTGAGACGCACGTGACGACGTGACCCCGCTGCGCGACGCGTCCTCCGAACGGCTGTTTACGCTGGGTTTTGCCGTGGGTCCGTTTTCTTCAGTCTGAGGTGACGAGAAGAAACTGTTTGTTGGGCGTCGGTATTTGGTTAACCCGGGCAAAGGTAAGCACCTGCACACACACGGGCAGAGAGCCCGAAGGCACGCTCGAGGCCCCCCCATTGCACACTCCGTCAAATGTGTCTTATCTCACGCACGGGCATTTGATGAGGCTTTACGATGTCTGGGCATCGGTGTCACAAACAACCCCGCGGGCGACGCAGTTGTGGTAACTGGCCGCGGTTTCCGAAAGACGGAGGGTCGATCTCACGACCTCCCAATTCTACCGACTCCAATGAGAGTCGTAACGGATGTTAAACGGCACGTGGGAACGAAAGTCTTGGGAGCTGTGGTGTTGAGATCACGGCACGACGATGCAACTCCAGAAACTTGGGTTTGATTTCAAGTCAAGCACAGTCTCCTGGGTGGCGATTACAGCAGAAACTTGTTCGGGACCTCTACATCATTAGACCTCCTTTGCCAGTACCAAAATATAATAATAGGGGTTTTCCCCTTTTTTCTGGCAACAAAACTGAAACCTTAAAAAATGATTCATGTCTGCATTAACCACAATACTTGCAGTCAAAATGCAAAAACTAAAAATTATCATCGTGTGTTTTTGTTTCCATTTTGACAGCAAGTATTGTGGTTAATGCAGACATGAATCCTTGTAAAAAGGTTTCAGTTTTGTTGCCAGAAAAAAGGGGGAAAATCATATTATTATTTTTCGATTTAAAGCTTTCGTGACTGCAGGGATTCATCTTCTTGGTTCTTTCGGTAAAGTCACGTAGAAGGGAAGTAATAAAATAATAAAAATAAAACATAACAAAATCATTCTCACGACGTTTCGGCCACAACGCAAGCAGCCGTCTTCAGGTGAGAAAACAGGTCTGTCGAGAAGGCAGAGTCATTCAGACTCTGCCTTCTCTTATTTTATTAGTTTCCTTCTACGTGACTTTACCTATTATTATTGTTCTGGACCTCTCCGTAAGACCTCGCACAAACCGTTCAGCGCACGACACAGCGCGCCACATGCAGTGATGGGGAGGTAGAGACGGATGAAGGTGCTGCGGAATGCCGCGATGTTCTTCGCTGTGCTTAACAAATAGATCTTCGATATATGCAGTATTACATTTCCTACCCAACTATTTCTTCATTGATTTGCTTTGGTGTTGGTGAAAACAATGTTATGGTCTACTTAAGTTAATTTATATTCTCACAGACCACCACAGACGATCGCCCATCATTTATTCATGGGGAATGAATGAAAACTGTGACCGCCGTAGATGCTGAAGAAAGAACTGACCTTTTCACCACCGAGTTACTGGAGAGAAAGTTTCAGTTAATGTTTGAAGGCTCATTTCTAAAAAAGAGTAAACACACTTTTTTTTTGCTCTTTCCCCATCCACTTATAAAAAGGACCCGGCTCTGTTTGTTTTTGTTAAACCCACAGAGCACACCCCAGTGCTGAGCTTCACGGGGGTTTAATAAAGTGGCCGCCCGTGTGTCCCCGCAAATGTTTGCACTGCCCACATGAGGAAGAATAGCTGCAAAGCTGCGAAGCTGCATTCGGGCGATGGCTGTGAATTTGATGGGGAGCTACCGCAGCAGTGCAACGCTTCCCACATTGGAGCTGCGATCCAGACGGAGGTCGGCGGTTCAATTCAATCTCCCGGCACGGCAGTTGAAACGATGGGAAACTTTCCTAAATTCGAACCCCCCCCCTCCCCCCAACATAAATAGGGACGAGGGACACCACAGTCAGTCGATTGGCAGGCTGAATGGTGGTGGGGTAAAGTGCGAGTACTACCGCCTCTTTTTGTGCGTTTAGTTCGTTGTCCTGCCCCCCCCCCACCCCCGCACCTCTGATTCGCAAGGTTGACTACGTACGGTGCGAAAAAAGTTCAACTTATATACGTACATCATGAACTTCAAGAAGAGTAGGCCAAATAATAATATCAAGCGCTCCCTCAAGTGGAGGCTCTTCCACCAGCAGCAGCTTGAGCGAGCCATTGCAGGTCTGCACTTTTTACCTTTTATGATTGTGAAAGAGCTGAGAAAGCCACCCACCTGGCTGCTGAGGTCTCGCGAGACGTACATCAGAATGTCTCTGGCCACACCGGCATAAAATCCATCGTTTGTTATCTGTTGGAGGAAATGTTGTATACAGAATCATGTATTATGAAGATAAGGCTCTCACCTCGCAGGGGATTGACGTCGTGTATTATTTACATAAATAAATGAATAACCATGTCAATAGCAAAGCGCCAGGGACAGCGATCGCCAGGGGTGAGAGATGGTCACAAACCTGGAAGGCGGCGGCGTAGGCGGCCGCGAGCTGTGCCTGATCGTAGAGCATCTTCTCGAAGTGTGGCACGAGCCAGTTTGCGTCCGTGGAATAGCGGTGGAAGCCCTACCACGGCACGCAGACACCCAATGGCAGAGAGAGACGCCGGCGAAATATTCCCTTCCTCTCGCCCTGCAGATTTCTATTTGACCCTCGGGCATCGCGCTTAACAAAAACACCCTACACGTTCACTATTATTCAGATATATTAGATAAATGTAGGTGAGAGCACGTAAACAACACCTTATAAATAAAGATAAATAGGGTAGAAACATATTTATCACTTTACAAGGCCCACTGACCAAAACACGTGTGTGTGTAAAAGTGCGTTAATGGGTGAACGTGTTGAGTTCATAATTTTTGTGTTAGTTTGTTGTATTTCCTCCGCACCTCCGATTAGCACGGTTGGCTACGTACGGTGCAAAATAAGTTCAGCGTACATACATCTATACAACACACTTTGCACCACCGCCAAAGCTGTCCCTAAAATGTTATTCAATCTTTTTGTGGAACATACGAATAAACCAAATACATTTCCGATACCCCGTCTACATTAGGTTTAGAAATAAATGTATTTTTCTGCAAAACAAACTATTTATTGATCGCCTGAATGATTAAGGTACATTATTACTGGAGGTGAGAGGTCATAGAGGAAGGCCTTGCAACTCATGTACCAGGGCTTATTGCCTCTTTTCCTCCAGTGATGATTGAAATTATTTCCTTTCACTGAACCTATCCTACTCGTTTGCCCCGTTTACGAATTTCTCACGACCTGTATAGGGCGGCCAAGCGCCCTGTGCTATTAACCCAGCACTGTGCGTTGGATTCTCGGCGTGCGTGCGTGTATGCATGTTGAACTGCTTTTGCACCGTACGTAGCCACAATTGCGCTAATCGGCTTAATGGTGGCGAGTGATGCCTGAACTGGTTCTGGGTTCCCCTCCCCCCCCCACCTTTACCAACCCGCAGTGACCAGCGTGGTGAGGTATGGTCAAACAATACGCACAACCGACACAGCATGGGGAAGCCCTCACCCCGGATTGACAAGTTTTGTATGATGCACTGTGTATTGTATGATGCAGCGACAATGCCACGTAAAATCTTGTTACTTGCACCACACCTACGACTCCACTGTATATTCACATTCTCGCCACCTCTCTTGCACCAAACATTTTATTATTTCATGCTGTGTTCTCAAAATTAGATTAGAATTGTGCTACGATATGAGCACATTTACATTCAGAGGAAGGCACACACAAAGCCACAACAAGGCACACCGCCTTTCCAATATCCTAAGCTGCACATTCAATAGGGACCTTATTTTCAACACAATGTTGATTTGCACAATAGCGACACATACCGCTAAATTTAAGGGCGTCTCAGACTTCGTTATAATCAGACCCTTGGGTACCCGCTAGGCATGTAATGAAAGCAACGGGTTCATCGATTGAAATTGATTCTTGCACTCACGACGCTAAACGTCGACTCGTGCTCAAAAGAACATTGTAGAATTTCTGGCAATTAAATGCAAATTGCATTTTAACGTTTCAGCGAAAGAAGTGGACAAAACGCCATGAACGAGACAACTCCAGTGGAGAAACATTACAAAAAAGATGGTAAAAATTAACTTGGGCAAGAACTTGTCACGAGAAGAGAAGATGGGCATTTGATGAATAACAAATTATTGAGCGGTGGCCAAAGGAGGGAATAAGCAAAAATATATATTTTTATTTTACCAGGTAAGGCCCACTGAGCTGTATAGCTCTTTTTCAGAATCGACCGGGCCATAAATGATAGCTCAACAAAGTGGCTTTACATCACGTGGAAATTGATAGCATCCAAATACTCTAAACGCGTGTTTCTAAATGTGGAGGGAACAACCGGAGGACCTGGAAAGAAATGTACGCGACCATGGGGATAACATGCAAACTCCAAATATACAGCAGCAGGCGTCAGGGTCGGGATGGAATCCAAGACCTCCTGTATACCAGGCGAGGTAGTTAACATCTGGCTACCGTGGTGCCCAAGAGCCCATTATCGCTTTCTCAAGAGGAATGCGTCCAAGAGGCCATTATCGAAGAGATGGAGCAACAAGATCGGCTTTGTATGCAGGTGCTGGATAGATTGTTGCCTCGTGGGAATATGAAGAATGGCGGCGACTTGAGGTGGCCTTCTACCAAGCAGCGGATTGATCATAGCTGATGATACCACCGCATAGGTTTTCACGGCTGTGCTGTGGAGTTCTCCGATGTGTTTTTTCGGCTTCCACAGTGTGTTGCTTGGCGTGATGTCTGACACTACCGTCCACGCTCTTGGAGATGAGATTCTTTAAGAACTAAACTGATTCAGAAAATCGTCTCAGTTACTGCAAAAGCTCTCAGCACGTGGAGCAAAACATCAGACATCCACGCTGAATGACACACCGTGCAACCTGAAAACACATAGGAGAGCCATGGCTAAAGATGACGATGATGATGATGGAGACGATGACGAAATATGGGACAAAACTGAATCGATTATTGAATGGAATCGTGGTTTGGAATCGTGAGAGATGTTTCCAGCTGTCAGAGGGATGGCTGACGGTCCCTAGTGGCTCAGCACCTGGCCAATGTGGTCGTGGATGCCACCGTGCGCCATCATGCGCAGCGTGTGCAGGCACATCTCTAGCGCCTTGGCGCCATCGCGAGAGTTCCGGTCCTGCGCCCACAGCCCCAGCAGGAAACTCAGGTTCACTGCGCACATACACACACGGCAGCACAGCAACAACAACCATCGTTCGTCACCATTTGGTTGGTCACGCTACCACGACGCTTGTGCCAGGCTACGTGCACTTTAAAGCCATGCGCGCACGCGGCCAATGAAAATAAAAAGACACCTTCACTACCAGCAGCATACCCTGATGACAATTTGGCGTAAATGGGATGTTGCCTACTAAACCCCGCGACGTTCTGTTTGCATCCCTGACTGACAGCAGACTCGGCAGATCCGCCAAAGATCCACCGCTAAAAGTGCCTCCAACCCAACCACTGCAGGTAGCTCGATGGCATTGCCCCCCAAGGCAGCCAACGAATTGGGGAGCCGTGCGCTGGGCGGCGCTGGTGTCATGGAAGCAGTGTGGCCCGGAGTCAACAGTGGGGCAGGGCGTGTTGTCTAACAAGGAAAATGAACGCCACACTCCCTTTGGTTCATAGTGGAGTCATGCATTTACACTTAAAATTCAAACGTTGGTTCTTTGAGACGTTAAAATGTAAAATCACACGTTGCGTTGTCTATTATTATTATTGTTGTTGTTATCGCAGTTATCGGAGTTTTTGCTTGTCGAAGTCTTCGCATCTGTCTCTCCTGTGCTCCATTCTGCTTCTGTACTCATACATCTGTACATGTGCGCCTGTACATGTGTGTCTGTATGTGCGCGTCTTACACATGTGCGTCGGTACATGTGCCTCTGTACATGTGTATTTGTACATGTGCATCTACACGTGTGCGTCTGTACACGTTCATCTACACGCGTGCGTCTGTACGTGTGTCTACACTTGTGCGTCTGTACACGTGCATTTATTCTCTCCTTTTATCCATCAGCCCCTTCCAAGAGCGATTTTTCCCCACACGTGTGCTCGCTCTTTCTCCGGGAGCCATTCTCCAGACTCCTAATTCTCTCCGTCTCTAAAATGAGCTTAAATCCGCCAACCTGCAACCGAGGGGTGAGCGGTGTGCTTCACTATTTAAGCCACACGATTAATGCCCGGGCAACAGCTTGCTGCCGTGGCAATGACCGACCAGCAAGCGCGGCTGGCAAGATTCCCAGCTCGTGAACTGCGAATAAATTGCAGTTGCAACAGCTCCGTCGAGGGAAGGCGCCACTTTTGTCGGAACAACGCTTCTTTCTAGAGACGTTCAAGCAGAGGCGGCCTCAACTCGGCGGAGGTGAATTGGTTGTCGCAAATCGTCGCAAAAATGTCTCCGTCTACCTCCATTGGCACATCCATCTGAGATGTAAATTGGGCTGACATCCGCTTGGAAAAATTTTGTAAGAGAAAAAATGTTTTGCCATGCCGATTGTGTTATCTGTTTCATGTCATGAGATGGAGCATTCGTGTGACCCTCCGTGCGAGAGAATGGCCCACGGAAATAGATTAGATTATTGTAAAGGCTTCCTCTGACGTTCCCTTTATAGCGACTTTCGTTTCGCACAATAGGGCCCAGCACTGGCAAATATAATGCACATCTATACGCACGATTTTGCCCTGGTTATGATGTGTTACTCAACACGTGAATGGCTCCTGATACGGTGGTTAGCTGTGACGACGTCTGTTGAAGACGGGACAAAGCGCCTCATGGAAATTTAGCCCATTGCCAGCTGTGTAGAACACGACCGTAAACACACAAAAGTGGCTCGAAAGCAGCGAACAGACGAGATGACACAGCAGATGCGGAGAAGGCTGGCCCCGTTGTATCGCGCCGCACAGACGTGCATTGTGTGGGGTGTGAAAGGCATAACAAGCGTCCTCCACAATGCGCCGCAGAGTGAAGTGAATATTTATTTTCTTCACACCCAGCGTAGTCATTTTCATGTTGCAGAGAGACGGCTGCCAAGCCCATCTGTCAAGCAAGCAAAGCCTTCAACGAAATTGTTATGTATATACCCACAGCTAAATAAGTGTGAAATATGGAAAGCCTAATTGAGATTCAAGGCTCCTTTTGTAATTGTCATTGCATCAAAAACAGAGTGCGTTTGGTCGGTCCGTTTTTTTATTTTCTTTCATGTGCCAGAGTCAATGAGTGGCATGGAAGACACGTGCAAATGAGAGGATGGCACTCTCATTCCAAACAAATACTGCACATCAAACACAACATATTTGCTGATGTCAATACAATTCAAAGGCAATCTGTCCACCGTTACTCTTTTTATTTGGACACGCTCAAGACTTCCCTGGCTTACACAAAATATAACTATTCACCCACCAATGATTCGACTGTAAAGATTCGGGGGTTGTGATTTTAAAGAATATTTATTTTATTTAGGCTCGTTTTTTTACCAAATCGTTTGCATTGTTTCTCATATATCCTGTCTTGTTTTTACAGTTTTTCTGACTCTTTAACCCTTGATCTAACAATGACATACAGGGACTCCTCTACTTACGAACATTCGCCTTACGAACTTTCAGAGATACGAACAAACCTGTCCGTATGTCCAGTTGCCTGTTCGGACTGCGAGTCGTAAGTTTAACCGCCGTGCAATAGATGGCGGTGGCATCGACATCTGCAGAACGTGAAGAACCAGTGGCATCAACATCTACAGGAGATTATATAACTTTTAAAGCCATTCCACGCATTTAGTGTACATGCCGTACAACATGTTTGGAATCAAACAAATTGACTCTGGAACCTAACTGGTTTGTAAGTAGAGGAGTCCCTGTATACTTATCATCAATCATAAAGTCGACTCTTCCACCACGTGAGCCTAAGAACTCATAAATCAATCCATTGTTACATTCCTTGCAAAGAATGTTACAAACATTGCAAAAATGTGCCTTTGTTCGGATATTCATGGTTGAGTAAGTGACGCGACTGGCTCCTGTCCCATGCAGCTCTGGTAATTTCCCATCATGCAAAGCGTGATGATCAAATCGCTCGGAATGTGGAAGCTAAGCAGGTTGAGCATGGATAGTGCCTGGATGGGTGACTACCATGCCACGTGTTAAGAGGCTGCATGGGCTATATTGGTAGGCAGCAGAAGGCAGTGCAGCAAATTCCATTGTTGAACTCTACATCTGTAGTACCTCTATGCTCCCACGTCTATGCTGTCCACCTTCGCCAACCCGTACTGGCCAGTGTGGTGCCATGTGGTCAAATAATCCTCACCGCCGTGCACGTGTGCGCCACGTGTACAGAGCGTCGCGAGGCCGTCCCCCTCCAACCGCCCGTCCCACCTGGCGTGGGGAACTTGGGAGCGTCGCTGAACCCGCCGTGGACGTCGTCGAAGGACGAGAAGAGCTGCGAGAGGCAGAGGCCAGCGACGTCCTCGGCGGACGGGAGGGGGCGACCGCGCCTCGCCGGGATGGTGGCGACGCGGCGCAGCTCGGCCAGCACGCGCTCGCCGCTCTCGCGCAGCGCACCGCGGTCGACCTGCCACTGGCACCGCCGCGCACAGGTAGCAGCGCTTAAGCGGCGACAACTCCGCCGCGTCCGTCGCTCTCCGCTCACTCGCTCGCTCGCTCGCCCCTGCCGAGCTGAGCTGGCGTGCTGTGATGGTGAGCACGCCGGTCTCCCAAGTGTGGCGGTCGAGAGCAATGGGGGCGAGGATTTTGAAAATTTTAAATCCTACCACCTCCCTGCAATGCAGCTGTCCACCCAGCAGCGTAAATGTGTGGACCCGCAGTTACGATCGGCAGTGCCGCGTGAAGTGGGATAAACACAAAACTGCTTTTTGCGTTTAGTTTGTTGTCCTTCCCCCGCACCGCATATTAGCACAGTTGGCTACGTGTGGTGCGATAGAAGTTCAACATGCATATACGAAAACATTGTGGGTGATCTCACTTCTTCCTAGACGTCTGGCTGGCATTGAAGAGCAGGACGAAATATTCTCCCCAGAGGGGCTCTATAGAGCTCCCTCCAGTAAGAGGCCCTTCGGCCAGCAACGGCGTGAGCAGGACATCATTAACAGCTTTACCTCTCATGTAAAGCATGACCACGATCATCATCATGAACATCACTACAGTCATCCAGCAGGGGATTGACGCGCCTATCAATTGATTGACGTAAATAATTCACGATGTCAATCCACTGCTAGATGAGGACCTCATCTTCACATTACAGCAATCCCACGCCAAAACGTGGGGTTTAGGTTCCTGGCAAGGGCCGCAATAGGCAAATCCATGGTTGGTAAAGAACAGGGGCCCTATGGGAAATAGGGGGTTAGGGGAATCACGTCATGGCTTAAGTAACTTGCCTGTTATTAACTAAACACTGAATAAAATACGGTACATCACACAATAACATAATGAAACATAAATAAACATTACATTAATTTCACATACTTTTAATGTTAACGGCGATGATGGTGACGATGACAATGGGATGATGGGTAAGGGGTGGTTAAGAGGAGGGGCTCAGCCCACTCACAGACGCAACACTCTCACCACGTACAAGCCTAACCAACGCTTCCACTTTACTCTGCAAACCCATGATGCTTCTCTTGCTCTCGAACCCTTTTATATCACCTTCTCCACTTTTGTAAATTTGCAAATGCGTGTTGCGGACCCACGTGTTCCAGATTCATAGAATAACGGCAGCAGACAACGACGTCACACGATACAATTATGTCATACTGTAATGCAATGACTTCCTTAACACTGTGCTTACCTGTGGATAATACTCAAACTTCCTGGTCGCGATTGGCAAATTGGTATAGATAAATAATAAACCGTGTATACATGAAACCGCGGTTGTCAAATCCGCGGTTGGTGAGGGATTCCTGTGTTCATATTTGTAGGAGGCCCTTGGTCGGTGTGACCAGCCTCCAAGATCACCTGCGATTTTCCTGCAAGAGATGCACTCTCATCAGGTGGTACCCACGTGACCCACCCGAATAGGTGGATGATGATGCTGATGCTGATGACGACGGATGAAGCTAATAGCGATGCAAATTATGATGAGGATTTCACAATCTGGAGCACTGCTGCCCGAACTCCCGGCCGATACGCGCGCGCAGAAAATATCGCGCTCATGAATTTAAATTGCTCACGGTTCCGTAAACAACAGTAGTCAATGTTTGTTATTTTAAATAACTGCAATTTAAATCAAGGTGACTGAAGCAGTTATACGGGCATGCTTACTGCAAACAGCATGTGCAATCAAGCATGCGTGCTAAGCATGCATCCATTAGTTCTTCATGGCTTGCTGGGTCATCATCGCAGGCCATTAGCAAAGAACTACACTAATGAACACACAGCGTAATAATGCAGGCAGGTGGCTACTATCAAAGCCAGATTGCATTTGACTGCCAGCCCTCTCAAATTTGCACTGCGCTGTGCAAATATTTTTTCCTGGAGCTCTGCTAACCTGTGATATTGGCCCCCGCTAAGGTGCCTCGCTAGGTAGTCTAGCCAATTAGATGCTAATTGAGGCATTTTTCAAAGCGAAGGGATTAAGCTTGGGTCAGCGACGCTGCAAAGCAGTGTGCTAATCACCGTGACACACGTTTCTCGAGGGCACTCACGCACGCCGAAGTGTCATACGAACACCCCATCAAAGGTACACGGACCCGAGCAAAGGGTCAGTGCCAGAGCTGCGGTAATGCTGAGAAACTCTGCGGCTTGAAACTTTGCTTGAGAAGATTGCGTTTGCAGGTTTTTCTTATTTGAGAATTGTTAAACAAAGATCCCCCTTCATCAAGATTTCCCGGTCATGTGGCTTTGTCCAATTGCTCTTCCCTATTCTTCATCATCATTATCATTAGCCACGGTCAATCCGCTACTGTTATGCAAGACAAAGATCCCCCGTATAGACTAAACAGACGTTTGTGGCGAGTGCTTGTTCGCAAACACTTTAGAGGATCAGCACGGTACACGAGGGGGTGGGTGGCCAGCATCACGTGTTATGTAATAGTGCACCGAGCACCTACACATTAACCAATTTCATTGCTCCATCTGCTCTTGGACGCGTGCCACTCCTTGGCTGTAAGTGCATTATATTTATATATATTCCAAGCCTACCCAATATAACAAAACAAGCAGGCAACGTGTCTCTAAATATACCAAAAAGTATTTCACGCGAAACATATCAGCTGCACGGCACTCTGGGGAGGTACAGCCGCAGTCGCAATGGCCCAAGTCAAGGCAGATAAGCACTCGTCTATCTCGTGCCACGGCAGTGAAATGTTAACTACCTCACCTGGTATACAGGAGGTCGTGGGTTCCATCCCGACCCTGATGCCTGAATATTTGGAGTTTGCACGTTCCCCCATTGGTTGCGTGGATTTTTCTCCGGGTCCCCTGGTTCCCCTCCCCCCCCCCCCCCCCACAATTAGAAACATGTATTTAGAGATCAGCAAGGATCTGTGGTTCATTTGTGGAAAGCACTTTGTGTGTAATGGGTTCGTTCGGCAACTGGCAGCCAATGCAGCACGCCGAACACTGGACGGACGCGGTCGGATCTAACACTGGTGACAGGCATCATGAAGTGTTGCGCGGTAAGGGAAAGCCAACCGCGACATTATGGCCATTTGTCTTGTTTCTCTTTGGCCGCCGATCTTGCCACCGGCTTCCATCTGCTCAGGCGCTTCAATGGTGGTGGAGGAGGTCGAGCGGACGTCCACTGGCCTCTTGGCTGCGGCAGACCATCGCTGTTGAGCGCTCACAATGGGAAGGGAGCTTTCCCGTTGGTTTTCCAGGAGGGAGCGCAACAACAGTCGGCGTAAGGAAGGTGGACAGCTGCTAGATGCTGCTCCGGCGTACGCTCTCACGCCTCACCCTGACACGGTTGCTGCCAATATTAGGGGTCTTATTGCTTATCTGTGGATCTCCTTGTTCTATAACAATCTGGGCATTCATAGCGGTCTGCAGCCGAGAATCGAATCCTCTTGAGCCCTTTTTGAAGGTAACACGCACACACACGCGTGTGTGTGCGTGTTATTGTAGGACTGTTGGCCAAAATGAGAAGTTCTCACTTAGAAAACAAAATTTATATTTGTTAATCAACCCCCACTAAGTAGCTTTAAAAGAATGACTAACACATAATTTTTTATTCAAATATCATCGTCAGCCATGGTCACTCCACTGCTGGATTTACCAATACAATAAAACAAAATCCATTATAGATATAGACGCCAGGAGGGCCTCCCTTTCCCCGGGGATGGACGGGAGTCAATCACCGCTCTATGGGACTATGACAGGTTGATAAGTTTACCAGTGCGCATGTCAGCTATTCCTTCCTAAGTGCTCCCACCCCCCCCCCCCCCTTTTCCTTTTTCCATTACAACCCCTTTCCCATCTTACCCCCCCCCTTTTCTTTTTCCATTCCAACCCCCCTTCCCATCTTCCCCCCCCCGCCGCTCCCTCCTCTTTCTTGCTGAAGTCATCTTTTCCTCGTCTTGCGCTTCCCATATAAAAGTGCACGCAGCATGCTTGCGGTTCCCGCTTGGTGGGCCAGCGAGCCCAATTTGACACTTTCTCTCGACCCAGACCCAGGTGCACTGCGTTTGGGACTTCTGTCCGCAGAGGCTCTGTACCCCCTCTACGTTGCGGTTTGTGCTCTGTAGCGGGCTCCGATTTAAATATGATACGGACATTTAAAAAATGCAATTACAACTAAAAACTGAGGGTGATTACAGAGTCATGGAACTTACCAAAGCAATGCAGGTTAGTAAAGACACAAGCACGAAATTGTATATGTTTCATACATTACACAACAACCTGCCAGTGTTAGAACATTTAGAACTTATGAATGCCCAAATGATAGTATAGTCATGTTACATTGTGATTCTCAGGTTTGGTATCCGTTAACAAGGAACAGAGTGAATTGATTATTGTGTTGAATAATGGGCAGTGTTTAAAAACTTTGGCCATGTCTAAAGAAATCTTTAAACAGAACTCGCATTTGGTAATGTAACGATACTGCAAGTTAAACAGAATGCTCACCTGAAGACGGCTGCTTGCGTTGTAGCCGAAACGTCTTGAGAATTATTTTATTATGTTTTATTTTTATTATTTTATTACTTCCCTTCTACATGACTTTACCGAAAAAACCAAGAAGATGAATGCTCGCTCATTGTCGACTTTCAACAAAATCCCATTTTTATTTAATTTAATTTTATTTTCATTTTCTATCTAGCAATATCTCATTCAAGCAGTTTCAACTTGAAGAAATTCATTGAAGATAAAGAAATAATACAACAATGCTGGAAAATCATGTGGAATTAAACATATTACATTGGCAAATTACGTGTGAATTATACGTCCAGGTTTAACTTTGTGAGTCACGTGACAAAAGCTATGGAATTACCGCAATTAACACGGCCCAGTCTGCCAGACTACGGCCGTGGTAGAATGCAGTTGTTCGCGATATGGCCCGTTGTTTGGTTCGGGTGGCCGCAGGCACACTGTGGGCCTATTAACGCTCGCATGACTGACACAAGTGGGGGTTGGGGTCACCACGCTTTGCCTGTCCCACTGGCTTAGACTTGCCGGTGATGGCTTGGCCACGACGTATCGTTTAGTTATTTTACGCATGGATGACCTATTCGACCGCAAAGAAGATTCCGAAGGCCAAATGGCACTCTCGTCAAAAACTACTCGTGCATTTAGGCTGATTAGCGACTCCCCAGCAATAACTGCTCTCAATTGCGAGTATATCTCTTGCACTTAACTATATGAACAGCAACTGAAAGCACGCAGAATTATAATTCAATTTAAAGGAAACTTACGTAACTGTGCTACTTTTTACACTTAATTGCAAGCTCTTAAATTAATCATTAAACCTGCAATAGAACATGATCACCAATGCATTAGCATATGGTCAGTCAACCATGAATGCATTGTGTGCATTCAATCTACTCAAACCTCTCAGAACATATACAAGCGCTGGTTAATTATATTAACAAGCTTCCGTAATTTTGCCGAATGAGCTCCAAGTTTCGAATTTGTTGGATTATTGGATGATCAACCCCTTGATAGTAACCCATTCATAAACCTTGGTGCTTCATTGCAATAGCAGTTTAAATAAATTCAAACCATCAAACCAACACTCACACACACAGCCACCAGGTGTTAATTTTAGGCTGAGTTTACCTAGGGAAGACCTAGGCGACGATTGACAACGTTGATGTGCATGGCCAGGAATTAAACTCAACCAGGAATGACCCAGGACCTTTTTCACGTTGAAAATTATATTTGTAATCCACAGTTTTCTATATGGACGACATTTCCAATCTAGAGTTGTTGATTTTTTTTTTACCAGCCAGGTAGCTAGGCCGTAGAGTGTGCAAGCTCACCATCAGAAGGTTGAGATTTAACATCCTGGTTGGAGGTTGGCTTCAGCACACTAAAATTACTACCACTTTTTTGGAAAAGTCTACAAAGGTTGTTCTCTGGATAGAATCATCCCTGCCATAGGAATGTGCAATTTCTGCCACTGGCTCAGGGCTGTTGAAACGAAATGAGCACCGTTTGAAATGGTCATTTGAGTAGGAAATCACTTTGAATGGAATCCATAATTTTACTTGCACAACAGTGTTCCTGCTGGGTGGGCACTATTTAATACCGCGAGGATCTCTACCTTTTTGGCGATTTGCGTGAGCACCGTCTTGAAGCCCGGCCGGGAGAAGCTGTCCTCTGGCGGGAAGTATGTCCCGCCAACGAGCGGCCGGAGGTCCGGGGTGAGCCACACACTCATGGGCCAACCGCCACCGCCACAGCAGGCCTGCAAGGCAACAACCCCCGACGCATTATTATTCAACCCACCCGCCGCCACTACCATCGTCGCAACCATCCCCCCCGAGTCCTCCATAACACGGGTTGATCCGACGCTGGCACATGATGAGCGACAGCCAGGGCTGCCCAGAGGTTGCTGGAGGCCCTGGACAGAATGCCACTGAAGCCCCCACCTACAAACAGGCCTGTTGCGAGACCCTCTTGAAAACAGCTCAAATGTGGCATGAAGCAGCCTTCGTAGCCGCCATCATGAAGACAGCATGAGCTCCTGATGTTACTGTATCGACGTGTGGGCAGAAGGTGGCGAGCAGATGCCAGCAGAAGTAAATAATGTAAAAGTAGAACTATTTGTAATGCGCACAATGTTCAGGAAATAACAAAAGTTGAGGCCCGAATGAGACAGATGAGACTGCACAGGGTACCAAACCGTTGCCGCTGTACTGTACTATGTAGAACAATATTGTATGTAGAACAATGTTCAATATTGTATGTAAAACAATGTTCAGGAAATAACAAAAGTTGACGCCCGGATGAGGCTGGTGAGATTGCATGGAGTAGCGAACCCTTGCCGCTGTACCGTGCGTACTGCGTGTATGTAGAACTTATTTTCCCACCATATGTAGCTAACCGGAGGTGCGGGGGAAGGACACCAAACTAGGGACAAAAAGCAGTTCTAAAAAAATTCGTTTACAGACTGGTATAATCGCTGGAGGCCTTCATCAAGTGCTTGATTCATTAAGACCTGAAATTTAATTTTATTTAACTTAAGAAGACAAATATAAAAGACTATGAGGCCTCTAGACAAATAAGTGTTTGCGCTACACAAGATTATCGTGCTCCACTCTGTACCTCTTTCATGATTTTGAATCAATTAGAGTGTACCAAACATGTAAAAAAAGATGTCAATATTGTGAATATTGAATTGTAAAGCCCTTGCTGTCTCAATATTCACAGGTGGATCGATAGCGTTTTTGGAAGGCTGAGATTTCTGGGCTCAGGGTAATTCATTGTTCCCATGGTGTATGAACAACCTTATTCCCGACCGTGACAAATGCAATAAACAAAATCTGATAAGAAAATATATTCCCTCTAGACGGTGCAACTAGCACGGAAATGATTCAATAGGACTACACAAGGAATGTAAATACAAAAAACATACAAAAACGTGTATCCCTTTATAAGGCGGTGTATATAGTCAGATAATAAAAATAATCATCATAACGGATTGTGCCCGAGCGGTCGTCCACTTTGGAAACAGAACAATTAACTCAGCTTGTGTGCAGGTGCTAGAGGTGGATTGTTAAAGCGCACGGATGTGAAAGGTGGCGTCACTTGATACAGTAAATCTAGCTGTGACGGTCCTACCTGATGACGGAGACTTGTGTTGCCTCCGAAACGTCGTGATTTATTATTTTATTTTGTTTCAATTAATTGTATTTTTTTACCTACGTGACTTTACCGAAAAAACCTAAGAGTAAGTGGCGTCGGCTTGGAGAGGCCTTACTCCAGCAGTGGATTGTCCACGGCTGACAACGGGTGAGGCGTGCCTGTAATCCAGCCACACATGCAGCCACGTACTGCACACGCGACACCCATGGGGATATAGGCGGCGCTGTCCGCCGAACTCCATTATTTAGATTATTTGGCTGCCATAAATTTCCATGTGGTAAGCCACTTCGTTGAGCAATCATTTTTGATAGCCAGGTTGCTTCTGAAAAAGAGTCATACAGCTCAGTAGGCTTTACCTGGTAAAATAAAAATAGTTTAGTTTTTTCGTGATTTGCTAACCTTTCCTATACTTGCACTCGTATCGTTTTCTTGTATTGTTGTAACTTTCTGACCTGCCACTATTGGACATCTGTGAAAAAAATAACTTAAAAGCTCATCGGATTCCTTTAGTACAAATAAATATTCTAATTCTGACTCTCATTATTGGTGGCACCATGCGAGGAGCACACGACCATTTGTTGCGCTGTAGACCCTGCCACAGCTTCTGCACAACGCGCTGGGGGCGATTGAACTACGGACTCTGTCGTAAGAATATTAGGAACTTGACACAATCTACATTTTTTTTCAATGATAATCATTACATGTTGTTGTGGAAAGATTTTAACTACCTCGCCTGGTAGTTCAGGAGGTCATGGATTCAATCCCGACCCTGACGCCTGTATATTTGGAGTTTGCATGCTCTCCCCGTTGGTCGAGTGGATTTTTCTCCGGCTCCTCCGCTTTTTCCCTCTACATTTACAATCAACATGCGTTTAAAGTATTTAAGCTGCTAGAAATGTCCACATGATAAGAAGCAACTTTGTTAAGCTATTGATTGTAGCCAGGTCACTTCTGAAAAAGAGCTATACAGCTCAGTGGACTACACCTGGTAAAATAAAAATATTTTAGAGTTTCAGTTAATGAGAAAATAAATCACCTTTGCACATTTTTTACTTCATGATTATTTCGTGCTATGTCCTGTATGGTTTTGCATCAAACTAGCACCTATTATTTACTGAAAGGGCCCTTGGCAAATAAACATCTGGCAGCTCACAAGAAAGCCTGACTGCTGATGAGACGCTGAATGTAAAAACCACGGCAGAGTTTGCTTGTGCTGAACCAATGCTGCTGATAGGAATCACTCCCAAAAGGCCCTGCGGTTGATGTGTTCTGTGAAAAATCTTTTTTTATGGTTTATTCGGAGAGACACGTTTGGGAAGGAGGCATATTTATTTTGTCTTTCGACTTGATAAGAATGTCTTGGGTAAACAAAAAATGATTATAGACATAGCATGCCTTGTATCTGAGATTGAGCCGCATGAGTGAATCGCTGTGTGCTCACAGCCAGTCTGGTCTCCTCCCAACGCCAAGTTTCAAGTAACAAAATCACTTTATTTTCCCATAGTTTACCAAAAGGTTAAGATCATTGCAAGGATTATGGCCTGGCCTTCACGTGGCACTCATCATTCCATTAATCGTCAGTGCAGCGATACGGTTAGTGCTACGTGAACTGGTATTAGCAAGCTAAACAAAGCTGGCCGTAATTCAAAGCCATCACTGCAAAATGAACCCAAGACCCACGCACTGAACCCGCAGCAAACAGCGTTAACCACAAAGCAAAATGGCTTGGTGCTTTTTAATGTCAATATATGGCATGGCAATAACTCACAAGTAATGTGCACTTGTGCCACTCTCTGCCCAAATGGTTTACAATGAGCTCATTTGCTGGAGAGGTGGTCCAATTTCTACTGTATTTGGACAATTTGTTGCCAAAGGCTTGGTCAAAACCGTTATTACTGCTTGCAGTGTAGGCGCAGAATGATACAACGTTGTCTATACTTACTGTGACATTTAAGCCCCAACTAACAGTCCAAATACTTGTGCAGTTGATAGTGAATCAATTCGTTTAGAACATTCGCCGCAGGAAAATCGAATTGGGAGCTGATACTAAAAACAAAACTATTTTTAATTTTACCAGGCAAGGTCCACTGAGCTATATCGCTCCTTTTCAGAAGTGACCTGGCCACAAATGATAGCTCAATGAAGTGGCGAATCACATGTAAATTAAAAGCAGCCAAATACTCTAAAACGATACAAATGGTTAACATCATTGCAGAGAGGAAGCTGTGGATAATGGTTATGCAATCTGGATGACTGATATACAGGGAAATCCATTTATAGATACTGCAAGTGACCCTCTATCCTACTTCTCAATATGTTACGGAATATTCTAAAGGGGACACTTACAAATCTCACCGAGCAGAGCGTTAATAGATTTGAGATCGGCGGGGAGACATGTGGAGGCTTTGATATGAAATGCATTTTTTTCATTCTATAATTTCCTATATTATGTTCGTGGGGTATCAACAAATGGATCATCCTGCACAGGTATAGCGGAACATTTGGTACATTTTGACAACAGGACCTTGCCCTATGTAAGAACTGGGCAAAGGATCTGCTTGTCATTAATGAAGGTGTTGTGGCGAATTCGTTGTGCTCAACGAGGTAGCCACATGTTAAACACAACTAAGGGTCTGAAGCAAATTTCACCACAAGAGAAGGCAGCAATTACTGCTCCATCTCACTTCGCTCACAGAAGAGATGAGCCAACGGGCTGCGCCATTAAACAATTCAAGTGAGAGATGTCACAGGGGTTTTTTATTATTAGGAAAACCACTGTATTCATGATGAGTCGGAAAATTCGATTTTTTTTGTTCCCATGGACAACCACTCAAGAATGCGTTTTGTTTTTGGTAGGGCTGATGCCAAGTCTCCACCTTTGTGTGATGACAAGTTTCTAGGGTCATCTGTAGGGCATTTATGTACTTCTAATAACGGGCTGCAATCACCAGGTTTTTGGCATAGGTAACATGGTTAACGTGCAGGAAACAACAATCTTTTGGACTGCACTCAAGCATAAATACGCTTATCACTGCGTCCATAGAGACCACAATGAAAGGTCCTATGACGACAGGACTTCCAAACTGCATGGTCAAAAGAGCTAATTATGTCAAAAATATAATAAATAGCCCATGTAAAACATTGATATACCAAATATTGCACGGGAAAAACATTTGGCTTTAACAATTACTGCCCACCATCACGAAGGTCCTAAATGATCATATATAGGAGATCAGGAACCCCAAAGACGAGATTAACCCACAGCCCTGGCCCCCTGATGGTGTCACAGATCTTGATCGTATGCATAAAAGGAAAGGTTCAGGTCTTGTTGAAATTCTCTATTCCTCTGCTGTAGCTGACAGACAGGACATGCACCATCTGTTCAGACCCGCTTGTTCTGAACTCGCACTACGATTCCACAAACTTCTGCTTGGCGTGCCTGGCAATAATTTGCTGAATAATTCTTTGTCTGGACCTTTTCCGACACACTGAGGAGCAAAACAACCCCCCCAGCAGTTGTTAAAATCGCTACAATCTCGCTTCTCATAGTTTGGGACCCACGGGGCATCCTTAAAATCCTGCGGAACTCGTTCTGTCGTC